TCTCTCTCTCTCTCTCTCTCTCTCTCTCTCTCTCTCTCTCTCTCTTTCTGTCTGATTTTAGACACTTATTATTTTATATTTGAAAAATCATTTTAAAAATATATTTCATTAGAGTTACAACGAATAATGTCTGATAATTCGTGGAAGAACGCTTGCATACAGGTAGAGTTCGTCAAATTGAACAAAACTATACTTTAGAGAGCACGTGTCTTGAATTGTTTCATTTCGTCAATAATTTCGGCGACGTCCTTGCAACATCGCGACGGAGAAGTTCGCACTTCGCACGACCGCCGGAAGAAAAGTCAGAATCTTCGCGACATCTTACTCATCGCTCGGTAGTCGAGGACGTGAGCTGCATGGTGTTTGAAAAATGTATTACCCTTTTTTCAAATATATTACATTCTAGATTCAAATAAACAATTGCTTTACAAGTATTCAAAGAAATATTTTTTTAACTAAATAAAATTTGTTTAAAATTAATATATTTTTGTCAACATATATGCGTATTATATTTAACGAAGAATATAATAGTATACAATATATATTCTTTTATAAAAACCAATGGACATGGTAATATTTCGCGTGAAGTATAGTGCGACGCAAACCCGGCCGTGTGTACTTTTGCACACCAACTAGTTCAATACAGGTCAATTTATCGTTTTTGCTATAACGACTAAACTGGTGTGGTTCTGAATTGGTTCAATTAATTTCTTGAGATTACATTACTTAATGAAAATGTTTTTATTTTTGTCCTGTAGACTGAGTTACTCTAGTTCAAAGTCCGAAGTCATCAAATCCACAATCATCAAGAATTTGTCGGAAAATTGTGCATCTGAACCTCCTTCAACATCAGATGAACCTCCTGAACATCAGATGATGTACGAGAAGGATGACCTCATCGATTTCGATACTTATATGGAACTAATGCCAATGAGAAGTTGGAAATTCTGAAGTTATATATCGATAACCGACATCGATACTTGTCAAAATTAGGTTTGCTTTGGACGCTTTTGTGTTAACTACGACAAACTGGTAAGGGCCGGTTGTTCCAACTTCTTGGTAAGTTAATTGATAGTTAAAACAGTGTCTTTGTCTAACAAGGGAAAGTCCCGAAGTGATTCACTAGTTTTGGTTCAAAACTTATTCTGACATATTGTGACATATGGTATCACTAAGACAGGATGCAAGTTACAGCCTCTATCTTTGCGATATAACAAAATGTAAAATATGTTTTTTTTCGTAAAGTGCTATAATAAATAAATGTAAATAAGATTTGGAAATTTTTATTATCTACAAAGATACAATAATCCGAAATTATACGTAGCAAAATTTTTTGAAAATATTTACTTTTTAAGTCAATTGGTAGAGGGAAAAGGAAGCAAACCGGACATAAAAAAATTTTTTAATAGGTAAAGAAATCAAGTAAAATCATACTACTGTATAATTATAAAAAATCGAATTTGATATGAAAAAGGGAAAATAAAAAATAACCGATCCAATATGGTCGAATCACATTTAAAAAATAAGTTAAAAAATAAAAAAATATATTATACCGCCATTTTGTTATATCGTAGGAAAACAAGGAAGGAAAATGGGTCCCATATGAACTGAAGCCATGAGACATTGAAAGGCGAAAAACCATCTGCGAAATTCTGCTTGCTAGGCAACAAAGAAAGGGGTTTTTGCATCGTGTCATCACTGGGGGTGAAAAATGGATATATTTTGACAATCCTAAACGTCAAAAAACCATTTGCGACCCCGGCCAATCCTCAACATCGACGCCAAAGGATTATCCACGAAAAGAAGGTAATGCTTTGTATTTGGTGGGATCAGAAAGGTGTTGTGTACCATGAGCTGTTAAAATCTGGTCAAACAGTCACAGGGCATCTCTACCGAGGTACAAATTATCCGTTTGAGCCGAGCATTGCACGAAAACGACCGGAATATGAAACGAGACAGCATAAAATGATTTTGCTTCATGCAACGCTCGACCTCACGTCACAAAACTTATTAAGGAAACATTAGAAGCACTTCGCTGGGAAGTGCTACCCCATGCGGCTTATTCACCAGATTGTGCCCTTTCCGACTACTACTTGTTTCGGTCGATGGCACACGCACTTGCTGAGGAACGCTTCAATTCTTATGAAAACGTCGAAAAATGGGTTTCTGACTGGGTAGCCTCCAAAAATGAGTCATTCTTTCGCCGCGGAATTCGCTTGCTGCCCGAAAGATGGGAAAAAGTCATCGCTAACGATGGACAATATTTTAATTGATGTATTTTTTTATTTTCTTTCTTAAATAAAACCATATTTTTTATTTTTATAACATCAATGTTATAATTTCCTACTTAAGGGGGGAAACTATAGAGGGTCACAAAAATCTAATTTTTTTTTTGTTTTAATTAATAGTATTATATGTATAGAATATATTCCCAAAGTTTTGTTTTGAAATTCAAAATCTAAATGGTCGTACAGAACCATTTCCCGCAAGCAGGTACGAGTGCGTGAGGCGAGGTCTGAGCGCACAGTGACTCGCAACGGCTTTGTTTCGAAAAACTCGTTTGAAAAAACGGAAAAACCATTCTAAGAAAGATCTGTTAGAAAGATGCTTAGATGGGCACACAAAAAATGTGAATAATAGTTTTAATAGTACGATTTAGCAGTTAACTCCAAAACATGTACATTCTGACCTTAAAATCATCGAAATCACTGCCTGTATCGTCGCTGGGATATTTAATGAAAACTACTTTGCTGTTTTGAAGATAATGGAAATATTAAAATTGGACCTCTATGTAAGTTATATGCTGATAGTAAGGACCCCGAGCGAATAAAGAGACAGAAGCTCGGCAGCCTAAGTTGCAAAAAAAAGCTTGAATAGCAAGTAAACGACACCAACTTGAGCAAAATGACTTGTTTGAAGAAGCGGAAGGTTTACTGTATGAGGCAAGAATAGCGGATTAGCAGAAAATAGCTGTAAGTTTACAATTTTCTATCTGAAACTTTAAACGCTAATTTTTCTCGAAAAGACTTCTTCCAAACTAGTGTGCAAGATAATTCAAAAACTATTTGACCAGTCGAGTTGCCCTTTTACATACATTTAGTTTATTATATTTGTTAGTCGATGAACCTATAAAATTTATATTATTTATTTAAACTTTTTTGCATACATAAAGATGGATTTTTATGAGTAAAGATCGAACTTTTGATTCAAGGGTTGTTTTTTTGTCAATTACAAAATTTTTTTTTTAACTTGTTCAGGTTCATCGACAAATTATGTCCATAAAGAATAAAAAATTATTACCTATTTTGGTTTCAGACGAATACAACAGGAGCTAGAGTGCACACCGTTTTGCGCCGACTCTGCCGCGACGCTCAACATTTCTTTCACTATATACAATTTATAAATATTTTTCTTAACTTAAAAATATTTTTTAATACTTTAATGTACAAGCAAAAACACAACAAAGTTAGGAAACGATTAGATAAGTATATTCTTCAAAAAAAATTGTCGAAAATGCCCTTATTTTTTACGTTCTATAGTGTTTTCCCCCTTAAGAATGTAACTAACACGCATTATGTTACATTTATATTGTTGAATAGGAAATTATAACATTTATATTATGTTACTGTTAGTGTTTACTAGGTTTGAATTTCTCTTTCTGTGTATAAACAGTATTCTTCTTGAATTCATAAAGTATACATCTATGCTCGTATAGTATAACTCTATATAATACTCTAAGAAGTAATACTCTAAGAAGTTCTGAAGAACTCCAATCATGGTGCATGTAACTTCCTAAATCATTCTTATGATATTCTTCCACGAATTCCTAAAGAAGTACAATTCAGGAAAGGAGAAAACTTTAGGAACACTTAAAGAATTCATCGTGCTATCTGGGAGGAAGTTTACCGGTTACCCAAGTAATTTCATCACATGCTATCACAAGCCATTGTCTGCGGGCTATACGGAATAAAAACCGTAAAAAATTCAATTTAATCATACAAAACGAGGACATGAACGAAAATCCTCGTCGAAGACGAAGAGACATGGATAAAAATCAAAAAGACCGTCACTACTCGAGTTGTGGACGTGAAGCTGCAAATGTCTAAACCATTGGAATCGCGTAAAATAAAATTACATATAATAACAGAATTAGAATCGACACATATGGATATTAATACAAACACTCGTCAGTAACATACACTTATACGAACATATAGGATTCTGTTCTTGTGAAACTCGGAGATCTGAGTTGATAAAAATGATAATTTATCATTAAATACAATATGAACAACAGAAATTTTCATAACCTTATCGATATCCAATCTAAGATATCGTTAAACCCAGCACTAAGATTTTTTATTTATCTCACTTCAATCTTCATTACTTCTAACGAATCCTATAATTGTTTATCCCCGAAAACTTTTAGCTTTCGGACTTAATTACTTTATCCGAAAATTCTAAAAACTCATTTCTATTTCATCCTCTAAACGTTCAAAAATTTCATCCACAACAGTTCTAAAAATCTCCGTAAAAGTTCTATGTTATTCCGAGTACTAATTTTACCGTAAGGGGCGATTCTTAAGAAAAGTTGAAAAAGATTAAGGATCAGCGAGAAGTCATCAGAATTACCAACTTGCTGATTTAGAGAACCGCGTTATTGTCTATTTCCTCAGTTTTTGCACAAATTCGCAAGTATCTCCATATAATTCCCCTTTTGTTTTTTATCTATCTTCTTTTTTTTTTTTTCCTTCCTTCTCATAACTTATTCCTTTAGTCCAGATCATCATAAATTACAATAGCACAATGAATTCCTAAAGTATTCCCAAAGTATTCTTCTTCCTTGAACGATAATTATTTAAGAATTCGTAAAAGTATATTTAGTTAGTAGGAACGAATAAGGAATTTACACCATTATAATGCACCATTGAATTCTTGACAACTTCTTAAAGTATTCATTTTGAATTATTTACGTATACAAAAAATGTATACTTTATAATTTTTTACATAGTAATATGTATTTTTCTAATAGAAACTATTTGTAAATGTCATAGTGTTTGCTGTATTTTACTTGAAAATTTTAGATTACTTGATTCCAATATTACATTACGTTGAAAAATTCTCACTGGTACTGGTGGAAATTCGAATTTGCCCGAGGCACTTCTGGATTATGAGTCTTGCTTTAGGCACTACACTACTTCTTCTATCGATATAAACGTTTTACATTTTATTTATATGTATTGTAAATAACACAGTAATATAATTTATTGATAATATAATTTTTTGATAATATGATTTAATAAAATAATTTAATTTTAATAAAAATTATATTTTTTGCGTACTTTTATTGTTAATATAATCCTTAATTAATGAGGTGAGGTCTACAAAATCCCGCGCATTCCATTTCGTTATCTTTAAATTTTTATGGTAAAAATTTTTTTGTTAACTATTATTAGATCGACAAAGTCATAAAAGATTCTATAAACTTTGAATAATTATAAAAAAGTACAATTAAATAAAGAAAAATCTACCTTATTAAATAAGATTTAGTTAATTTAATTAAATTCATGTATAAATATATAAAAATTAACGCTTACTATAAACGATGGATTATCTGTCTAACCATAAAATGTAAATAAGATTAAATAATAATAATAATTTCTCACGAATTCTCAGAGTATCCCAAGTAATGATTCGCGAAATATTCATTATAACACGATAACCAAGCGTACTATATTGGTTCTGTGCTACTTAATATCAAAAGTAGAAAATGTGCGCATGGTGTCATCACGCAGTGCAGTATTCTGTCATTCTGTCAACGTGCATAGAGCTTTCACAATACTCGCTCAACATGTCAATATGTTGCGCTGTCACTGTACTTGTCATATGCTGCTGCATCTGGATAGCACGACAGCATGCATGCGCGCACCGTGCGATTATCGTGTAAACATTTGGTTATTGGAGTATTTATCAAGTAAAAACGATCAAATAGACTGACATAATGTCGCTGTCTATTTACTTTTTTTCATATATGCATCATTTCTATATATAGATACGTGAATGCGTTGTTGTCGATATTCCAATACTCGTTCTCATCAAAATATATCATTTTTGAGAATACATCTTTGCAAGCGCGAGAATTGTTTAAAAAACTGTAAAAAATTACACCAGAATGTGTTCTAGATGGTAACAATATATGACCTAAATAACGTGCAATAACATGATCGACTTTCGACCCATACGCGAGAATCAGACTTTCCTACGATGCTACGTTGGATCCAACGTTAAGAACGCGACTTTGGGCTATTGGAAAATTATTTTTAAGATTCTGAGCGTGTTACTGAGGGAGTAGAGTGACATTAACTTTACATTGTCACCCGAGAGACCATATAGGGCGAAATACTCACACTTGACGTCATTTTCGAAAATATATCTTTGCACACACACAAACGTGAAAATTTTTTTTAAAAACTGTAAAAAATTATTCCAGGCTTAACTAACTCGACTTAATAAATTAGCGAAGACTCAAAACACATTGGTTCGAATCTCGGCTTAATAGTTTAGCGCGGAGTCAAAACACTCTGGTCTCGGCTTAATAATTTAACGGGAAATTAAAACATTTCGGTCCAAAACTTGGCTTAATAATTTAATTTGTTGTTCTTAATTTGTCGTTTTGTCAACAACAAGCGCGTATACATAAGAAAATATTTCCGAAGAGATAGTATGTCGTATATAATATGACATAATAAGTTATAAATTATAATAATCAAATAGTACATATACAGTATACATAGGGTGTATATAAAACATATATAGAGCATAAAAAAGACATTTATAACATATATAGAACATATAAATACGACATGTTAAAATATATCAGTTTAATGTATCATTAAGAAATAATCCGACGAGAAGGAAGTCTGCCGAGTCGAAATTTCAATTGACTATCGTTATGCAAGAATGATTGCCAATTAAAAAAATTATAAAATTCATCCAATTCAAAAAATTATAAGATTTTATCAATGGATACTCCATTCACATCTTTTTACACCAAACGAGAAAAATTTAAGCGTTATGGATCCTTGAAATAAATTAAGAAATAGTTTTTTTATTTTTTGGCAGTCACGTCTTTTTTGCATATTTTTCTAAGGATTGAGCTAGTCATTACTCTTAAAGAAATGGAAATGCTTGACTCGTTGAACTATTGCGAAAATGTCACAGCTAAATTCTTTAGTTGAATCATTCTTAC